GTGGTCAGTCAGGCCACAGGTCTGCTTCACATGGATTTCAACTCCATGGAAGCTAAAACTTGGATGTGCCAAAGCACCCCTCATTGGCCTACCAGAAGCTACCTCTGTATCTTTAAGCAGCTACATTCTTTCCAAAACCCAAGCCAACATCTGCTTAGCCTTGAGAACTTGCAGGGTGCATCCTTTCCCATGTGCTCGACATTCTCTAGGTACAGATAAATAAGCGCTGTTTTTCTGGATGCAAATAAGGACGGGATATTGGAAGAGCTTTCCTTTTCCAAATCAGTATTACGAACTATTCTTTGCACCTCAATTTCAATGAACAGTAAAATCTAACAAAAAAAAAAACAACCCCAAAAAAAAACAACCCCCCACACACCAAACCATTCTAGCTACGAGCAACTGGAAGATTTTACATTTGCAAAGGTATAAAAACCTGCATTTCCTCTGTGGTAAGGGCAAACTGCAGAGCTACGACACAGCAACAGAGCATGCAAAAAAGGGTACATACATCTCCCTCTAACTTAGACACAGTTCACTGACCCTGCATGATTATTTCATATCACATATTTAAATTAAATTTACAGCTTTCACCTAAATTGTTCCGAGTCTTAACTAGAGTAAATGGAAGTTTTTCAGATCAGAAACTTGACTGAAGTTCAATCTGAGCCATCCTCTCCCTGGCACAGTAGAGGCAGAAGCCATAAGTCACACCACCCAATTTCACCCTAAGCCTCCTGCTGTGCAAGCGCTGGAGACTGAAAAGATATTGTTGCAAGAACAGCATGATTGCTTGCTATGAAAGTGTGAGTTAAGGAATACCAGCACCAGCACCCTCCGGCAGCTGCGGCCCCACAAACAGCTCGGGGACAGCAGGCAGTTTCAGCTGTGGCAGGAAGGCAAAGACACCAAAGGTGACACATCATCCCCCCACATGCAGCACAACTAGGCCAGGTGCCACTAGCATCCTCCCCCTGGTGAAGAAGCTAATACTACCTTTTTCCTCACTAGGCCACAGACAGCGCACAGACAAGAATGCTGATGAAAACCAGAACTCACTGGTACTAGAATTAGTTCTCTTTTGAGAAAAAGGTTTTCCTGGTAAGGGTTCTGTTAATGCTGAAATGCAGCTATTCCCCAGGCTTAAGTAGGCTTAAGTGCATCTTGCCATCGCACCTGGCATTTGCTCAAGCTGGAAGACGTGGTTATTACCCCAATGACACTTCCTGCTTGAAAACTGTTGTAAAAAAATAATGAGTACACTTTGGAGATAAGCCACCTCTTTCCCTGTGCCATTTCATGCTGAGAAGAAAAAGTAAGCCCCATTCATGGCTTTTGCAAAAAGGGAGGCTTGCACTGTGTAATCTGTGACATTTGCATTGTTTTCTTCCTGCTTCCAAACTACTGCACCACAGAATCGAGACAATGCCCTCTTGTTCAGGCCTTCTACCAGGTGTCAAAAATAATGCTTATGGCTGCAACACAAAAGGCTCATCAAGTGTGATAGTGAGCAGTGTGCTTCTGCCTTAGCAACCCATCCTCAAAAACCAGCTCCAGCCTCCTCTCCTGGGGCTTAGCCCAGCAGTCATGGCATTGAAAATCATCTTGTACAGTTAGCAGAGCAAGCCATGGCAAACACCATGCACGTCCCCAGCGACAGCCAGTGGCTGAGGAGCTCAGTGGAGATGGAAATGTAGAGCCCCAGCTCTGAGAGACAGCCTGATCCAGATCCAGTGCACTGGCAGGTTGGTTTGCTCACAGCATCCAGGAAGTACAGTCAATTCAGAAGCAATTCAAGCTTCAAGGGCTAGATAATACTGGAGCTCCTCAGACTCCTGAATCAACCCTGCAGCAACCTAGCCCACACCCAGAGGGCTAGCCCTCACCCCACCCTGCTTTTAAGCCCCATCCACAACCCGCCTTGCTCATCTCTGTAATTCAGAGAATAAATGCTCAGATGCATTTAGCATCCCAGAAGCCTGCGTCCCTGACAGAAGCTGGCACAACAGCAAGAGACATCTCGGAGCAAGGAGGGGCCCTGCTCCGAAAAAGCGCCTGTAAACATACTGAAGAAGCATACTTCAAACAGTGCCATGATAGCAACAGGGCACTTACGGCCAGACTGGAAGTGGCAGGCACTTACAGCTGCTCTCAAATAGCTTTTCGATCTCGCAGAAGCATACAGTTTCTACTCTCCTCCCCAGTCTCATCTCAGTGCAAACAAGAAAAAGGACTGGAAACAGCCTGTTACCATGGGTGCCAGAGAACATGAATTGCTTCAGAAAGAGATTCAGATGCTTAAGACACAAATTGCTCAAGACCTAAATTTGTCAATCTGCGGCCCCACTTCTCTGCATGGTGATAACCCAGAGGAGGACTCTACCACACCCCCTCACAGTCAAACTTCCAAAGGAAAGGACCTCATTACAGTGTCACAGCCCACCCGGATGTGACAAACCTCCCAGGCCATGGAGCGGGTTCTGGGTGGAAAAGCCAGACCGTGAAATCCTTGCTCCAACAGAAGCCAGCCTTCTGGAACTAGCTGAAAGGAAACACCCCTTCAAGGAGAACATATGGCGCATGTTGCTCGGCTTAGGGACGCTGCTCCCACTTCTTCTTGCCGAGCTCACAAACCTCACATCAACCAATTCTACCAGCTGCTGCATGCGGGGATCCCCAGGGCCCGTGTCGCAGAGCTAGCATGGAGCAGCATGCTCCTACTGGTTGCTCACTGCCCTGACCTTTGAGTTTTAGCACAAGTTCACAGGCTTACTGAGCCTCAGCTGGAACACAGCAGCTTGGCAGATAGCTCTCCAGCACCCTGAGCACCCATCTCATCTTACCCTTCAGATGTTACCCTCTCCCTCCCTTCCTTGGACTCCCATCCCTAAGCCACTACACACTGTGCTACCTCTAAATCATCTTTAAACCAGCACTGAGCAGTATCCCACGCTCTTGTTATCTCTCAGGAGCCTTGAAACTAAACAGAGGAACTCCAAAAAGGAACACATGCAACACCTCAGAAAAAAATCACCCCGGACCCGTCTGCCAGCCCGTCTCTCCATGAAACAGAGATTGTTTCAAGCAGTCAGCTTGAAATCAGATATGACCAAAGCATCCTTCCTCTGTACCGATGGCCATGTGTGGTGAATGACTTGTGCCACCTTAACCACCAGCCTCAACACTGGAGCTCCCAGCACTTAGCTCAGAGAATGCCCATGAAGACAACTGCCTGTCTGCAGCGATGCTCTGCGGCACTGGTCCACAGTACTCCCGCAGACAGGCTGCCTCTTCATCCCACAGGAATCAAATCCCAATCATCTCTTAAATCATAGCTGCAAAAACAAATGCCAAACTTGCCTGGTAACATAGGCAAGAATAGAAAGGACCATTCTGGGGAGGTAGAAAGGGGGAATACTCTGAATGACATCCAGGTCTTTCAGCTATGCAGCTTGACAACAGTGAAGGAATTCTTGTTGAGAACAAAACAAACAAACACTAATATGTTCACTAGAATCCTCACTGCTCTTTTCCCTCTCAATTTGACAGCACAGAAATGGCACTAGTTAATCAGGTAATCTGCTCAAGTACCAATAGCAGAAGAGGATTCCTTTCACACAGGTAAGTTGTGCAACAATCTTCTTTATTTATCAAGAAGTCTGATTTTTTTTTTTTTGTTGTATCAAGTTTTGAAGAGAGCACTGTGTAAGTCTCTTCAAATTGTTTTTGACACCATCCCTGCTGCAAGGGATTTTCTTATACTCATTTCTGCAGTGAACCAAGGGTGTAATTTAAGGGTAGCATTTGCACAGGGACTCCTACATGGTTTAACATCACCTTCTCTCCCACCAAAGCCACACCTCAGACCAACATCTCGGTAGCCAAGCTCAGACTGCGTAAATCAACAAAGCTAGGTCAGATTCATGGTTAGCATTAAACTGGTAACAGCTGCTGAAACACATCAACTAAGGATATAACTGATGAAAATGCTTTTGGAGTAGAAAAAGGTTTCCTTCTACTAGCTGAACCAGAAAGGCTTGGATGATTCTCAGAAGCCTATTACAACTGCTTCAAACAGTGGGTGTGCAACCACCAGTTTCATTAGAAATAGCGCATTTGACTTTCTCTCTCTGTTTTAATGTCCCTACGCACAGACAGAATTAAAGCATGACTGAAGCTGCGAAAGCAGTATTAATTGCAGTTGCCTATTACACACCCAGATCGCTTCAGTAACACACGGATGTGCTCTGCCTGACAATGTATTAACAGGCACCCTATGGGAGCCAGGTAATTGCTGTTTATGGCACAGAAATACCGTGTCTGTATGGGAAGTCAGCATCTTTGATGAGTTTGAGTAAAGTTCAAGCTCATTACAACTCTCTGTTTATGTTCCCATTGTGAAGCTTAGCTCCCATCCCTGGCAGCCAGGGTACCACAGTTACACAGCAGTGTCCCTGTGTACGTTTAATGTTCTAAAACTTTACATCTTTGGTGAATTCATCTCAGCACCGCTCCTCCCCAGAAAACTTTTTCACATCATCTCACGTAACTCAAGATTTTGGTATGATTAAGAGAGTTTGTCAGTGCAGCAACAACGCGAGTTCGATACACAGACAAGTTACACGGAGACAGAAGAAAACCAACTCTGCAGGATGCAAGTCGGGGGTCCCAGGCCCGGCGTGCGGGGTCCCAGTGCATATTCCCTGCTGCAGTTGGTGTCTGGGGATCTAGCAGTAACGAGCACAGAAGCGGGCTCTGAGCTTTCCTACTTAAGTGTGAAAAGAAGGAGAAAAAGAAGACAAAAAAGAAGGAACAGAAGGAAAAGTGAAAAGAAATAGGAAAACAAAAAGGAAATGGAAATACGGGTGGAAAAAAGAAAGTAAAACAAAGGCGGGAAAGAAAAAGGATAAGAAAAAAAGAAAAGTGAAAAGTAAATGGAAGGGGAAAGTGCCCCGTCTGCGCGCTCCCGCCGCCCCACACGGGCACCCGCCGGCCCTTACCGCACCGCCGCCTCCTTCCATCTTCCATCGCCGGCCGCGGCGGGTCGCAGCCGCCCTCCCGCGGGGCCGGGCCGAGCGCGGCCGTGGCGAGCCGAGGCGCGCTGTGCCGTGCCGGGCCGCAGCGGGCCGGGCCGGGCCGCGCCGTGGCGCCCTGCCGGCCCGTGGCGGCGGCAGCGGCGGGGCTGGGCAGCGCGGCGGCGGCAGGCGGGCCCAGCGCGGGGGGCGCGGCGGCAGCGGGACCGGCGGCAGTAGCCGGAGCGGCGGGGCCGGCGGGGCGGGGCTTGGCCCAGGGGCGGGAAAGGGGGAGCGCGGGGGGGGTCAGAGAGTGGGGAGCGCCACGTGCTCCTCGAAAAGGGTTAAAAAAAGAGGAATTATGGCAGGATTAGTAAAGCCACCGAGTGAAAAACACAGCCCGGACAGCGACGGCGCTGCGGACGGACGCGGCCAAAGCCATGGGGGCACGGACGTGCCGTGCCGTGCTCTGCTCCGCTCCGCTCCTCTCTGCTCCTAAATCCCTTCAGTGCGGCTCGCAGCTGCTGCTGCAAAAAACAACCCCGCAACAGAACAACAAAAAGCAATCTAAAACGCTTTTCCAGCCCTGGGGCTTTCCTTCGCAGCCTGGCTTCAAAAAGCAAAAGAGCACAGATGTCGTCAGAGTAACCCCATCCGAACGCCCAAACCTGATCTTTCTTTTTTGATAGTGTTGGGGGTTTTCCTCCACAATTCACTGCAAGTTCTCCTCTGTCGCCAGGTTCCTGAGCACACAGTCACATTGTCACGGTCTCTCTAACCAGGAACTCGGCATGTTGTTCATAATAAAAGTGGGGTTTCCCTGTCAGAAATTGTCAGTTAGAAAACACCCCGAAATCTCATGGGCCCAGTTACCACAGTTACCTACGCAAGTAGCTGACAGGCCGGAATAATGACGGATGTTGGTTTCTGTACTTTCAGTATTTGCGTTTTGTTCAGCAGCTGTTGAAAGCTTTATTTCTTTAACCCACCAAAGTTGAGGATAGGCTTTCTGGAGCAATGTGGAGCAAGGACCAGGTCTTTACTAAGCACTTTATGTTTGCTTATTCCCCTGCACTGGAAAACAAAGCTTTGTGTTAGGTGGAAGGCAAGGTTGTTCCTGCTGCCTTGCTGTTATGAAAGGCTTTGGACAGTCCCCGTGGTAGAAGTGCATCACCATCCACATCACTGACATTAAGTGTACCACACCCGGACACCTCTGCAGCCCAGGAGAAAGAGTAGTCCTGCCTTGTTTCCCATTGGCCTCCCAGCTCATGGGCAGAGCCATCCTCCCTGCCAGCATAAGACAACCTCAGACTTTTGGCTCACCAGCACCAAACCAAGAAAACAAATTTAGAATATCAATTTCTGGCAGCGTGAAGGTAAATCCACTCATAAACCTTGATGCGCCCTGGCCCAGACCTTTCCCTGTTTGGCAGCAAGAAAGGGGTGCCAGCACCATCCCTAGCCTCTTCCAGCTTGTCTGGAGGCTCCATACAGCAGCATCTCCCCATGCTCCTACCAATAGGGCTGTGGCACACAGAGCTCCTGCTTCTCCTCCAAACCTGGACAGCCACCTTCTCACCACCTCCAGCTTCATCCCAAGCAGTGCTGCTCCTGCTTTCCACCCATGACACCCTTCAGGATACTGCCTCTGTCATTTGGGTGCCTCAGGCTGGTGTACCCTGCATCTCAGAAGGCATCCCTCTTTTTCCCTACAACTTCCCCTCTCCCCAGGCCTGCTGCTGGCTCCCACACACATCCCAGGAACAGCACAGGATCTGCCTCCTGCCCTCCAATCCAGCCATTTCTGTCCTCTGAGAACAGAGTTGGATGGAAACCTGGCTTTCTATCACCCGAAATGGCTGGCATGTGTTGTGAAGAGGTCCCTGTGCATGCACACAAGTCTGCCTTTGCCCTGTGTGCCAGTGCTGAGCCTGGCACCCAAGGGACAGCCTGTCCCTGTGATGCAGCCCATGCCCATGAACATGTGCAATGGAGACAGGGTGGTGTGCTGGAGGGCTTCACCCCTCTCCCAGCCAGGGCTGTGGTGCCAAGCATGTTCTGGCCTGGCAGTGTTTGGTCCCATCTGTTCCAGGCACCTCTGAGGCCTGGGGCTGCAGATCCCCATCTGTGCCACATCTGAGCTGGCTAATGCAGCGGAAAGAAGCCACCCAGCACATGGGTCTCAGAGGAGGTGATGTGCTCTGCGTCCCCCCTCCCAGCACGGGTGAGGTAATGCCACTGTGGGCCAGCAGGCAAAAGCTGGGTTTGAGGAGAAGGCTGGTGCTGCCCCTTGTGAGGGGCCTGGACACCTACGTGGCCGCTGTGCTCCAGTTTGGTTAGTTTTTCCCTATTTGTGTTGAGAAGAATCTGACCATTTTTCTCAAATCCATGCATCTGTCCTGAGTCACCCAGACACTGAGACTGCTGTGCCATACGACTTTGAGAGGAGAGCATTTGCTACCCCTGGGGAGGCCGATCCTGCAAGCCTCTGCCACTCTGGCATCTAGCTGTGAGTTTGCTTCACTGCAAAAGAGTGTCCTGGGGTTTGGCACCATGCGTCCTGAGATTTGCACAAGGGATCTTACACCATCGATCAGAGCTGCACAAGGGCAGTATTAAATCTCAGAGCATTGCTGAGAACAGGCAGTTAGCAAAGAAATGGGGTGGGTGTAGTGTGTTTATGAAGCAAGTCTGTATTTTTTGTCCAAACGCTTGGTTTAAGTTTACAGTTATATGTATATATATATGTATATATATATTAAAGTCAGCAAAAGCTGACACAAAAACTAGTGTCTTGCTAAGTAGTTATGAGAGGGGCTTGACACATCTATGGAGCACTCCAAATTGCTGAAGAATTCAAGTTCAAGTTTGTGGTATGTATTTTGACACCCCCCAATCTAGAATAAAAATTAATCAATAAAAAAGAAAAGCCAGAGGCAGGCAGCCAGCAGGCTGCCTGTGTGAGGATGGTAAACAGTCAGCTCCAGAGCAATGTCCAGCCTGGTTCAGTGGCTAAGCTGCTGCAAATCCCCCAGCCAAGGGAGGGCAGCAATGGGAGAGGGGAGCCAGCCCCAAGCAGGAAACCCAGCAGTGTCCTGGGCACAGGACTGAGGTTCAGCTAGGCAAAGAGGGCACAGGAGACCAGAGGAGACATCAGAAGTTGCTGGCTATGGCAAGTACCAGTATGAAAGCACCGCAAGGGATCGCACAGCTTGGCTACTGGGCAGTTGTGTGAGAAGTGGCACAGGCAGTTGCTGGGGTCATTTGGAGCTTTACAAGGCCAGTGGTGCTTTGGTTATCCTGTCAACTGGGATTGCCTAGGTCCTGGTATTGAAAATATCAAGTTTGCATATGCCATGCAGCAAAATGGGGACCAAAGGCAAAAAAGAGTAGTTATGGAGGATTGCTTGTTTGCAAGGGGTCTTGGGTGGAAAAACGGAGATAAGTAAACAGGAGAATAGGTAAGTTATGGAGTGTCAAGGGGCTGCCAAGGTGTGCCTGTCAAGCAGCGCTTTGATCACCAGAGTGGAAGCAGGGCAGCAAACCAAACGCATTGTTATGACCATACCACATGGATCAGAAATGGCTCCCATCACAGCATGGGGCCACGTGGAGCTTTCTCTCACCACCAGGACAGCACCAGGTGGATGCATGGACCAAGCATCCCAGCACTGCTGTGTCAGTGCCTGTTCCAGGCAGCTGGAACCAACCTCTTCCCACCACTTCATAAGACAAACATTAACCATACAGGTCAAACCTTCACAGCTGAAAATACCTCTTTCACCACACCACTCCCTCAGGAAAAAAAAGGAGTATATCGCAGTCAGTGGTCTGTAAATGCATAAACTCTGTAATCTTTTGCCTATAAAGGTACTCTCTTGCTCATTATTCTCCTCTCACAGGGAGATGAGAGGAGTACGGCAAACTCATTTCCAATTTACTTCTCATTCAAAAGGCAGAAAACCACATGTAGGTCATCATCCATGTGCTTGCCAGAAAATGGCTCAGGACATTGCATTTCAAATCAAATTGAGATTCTGTGTTTCCATGAGGGAGAATGCAGCTAGAGATGAAAAACAAAGAAACCAAAAACCCAACCAGAAACATCATTATCAGCAGATGGAAAGACTGGGTTAATAATTTATTGGATTTTCCTTTGTGTGTCTGGATTTTTTTGGACACAGCTGGAAAAACACTTCCCCCCCCCCCCCCCCCCCCCCCCAGCCGGTTTTACCCGGTAAAACAGAGTTGCCATCACAACCCATTATTTCTGAAGTGAGGGTGGAAAAGTAGCTGCAACAGCACCAGAGGAACAGCAGATTTGGAGATAAGGTGCAGACTAGAAAAAAACTGGGCACATGTAAAGAGGGTAATCTTTCTCTATTATTTCTTATGGAGAGACAGATAGGACTACTAAAGCATTATAGTAATGCCCAGAGTGACAGGCACAGCAGGGAGTGGGTTAGTGCACACACGGGCTAGTTGGCTGGCATTGCTATGAGGAGGGATATGCTGCAGTATCATCGTTCTTCACATGGCGCTTTCCAGGATGAGTTAGCCTCACACCCAAAGCTCCTGGAATCTTCCCTTTTAGGGGTTAACAGACTCTTACATTGCTCCTTCCCTCACTGACAATCCTCTAGAGTCTTGCCATGCCCAGAACTCCAGGAAACATAATTTTTCCATATGCTTAATCTCTTGCCTCCAGAGATTTCACATCATTTCACTCCCTCCCCCATCTGACAAGTTCCCTGTGAGGAAAGGAAATAACCAACATTCCCTGCATGGGAGCCCTGTAACTGCCCAAAATTAGATCATTTAATGGGATATTTCAGAGGCTTGTTATTCCACCCATCAGACTTCAGGGATCTGTGATTTGACATTTCCCTCCAAAAAAAAGCCAGAGACTTCAAAGTACAAGTGCCTCCCCAAACCTGCTGAATTTCCCTGCTTTGGCAGGTTCATGGTTACCTCCTGGGTCTCTGCTGTCACATCCTCTCTTAATCTTAACCTTTGTCCTTATCCATCTCTAGCAAATCTCTCTTTAGCAAAGTGCTGCAGGACCCTGAAATCAGTCCATCAGCAGTGAGTACCATTATCTTGATTAGGCCACCAGTGACAGCCAGGATCACCATACCCTCCGCAGCAAACAGCCACAGCTCCTGGGAGTTTATGCAGAACTGATGAGCCCACAGCACGGACAGGTCATATAATCTTTTCTTGCCAACTCTCTGCAAGTGGAATCCCCATGCAGCATTCACAGTGTCACCCAGGGGCCATCCTAAAAGCTCTCCAGAGTGAAGCATACAAGGAGGGGCTGCAGCCAGATTGAAGTTGGTCATGTTCTTCCCAAGCACCTCCAAAAGTGACAGAGAAATTACCAGTTACTGCTGGGCTGCCAAGTCCTATCGAGTTCTGCTCCTGCCGCTTCCCAGCACTAAGGGTGCAACATGGCCATCTCTGTGAGTGGGAGAAAGCCCTGTTTCTGGCATGGAAGCAAGAAACCAGGTCTAGGAATTCAGGATGCTCCAGCAACAGGAACTCTAACAGTGAAGGCAAGAGAAAGCATATGGCAGTTGCCAAGAGGCAGGAGCTCAGTGTTGTTTCTGTGGCTGGATCTGTGCTAATGAGGGAGGTTTCTAGGGATCAAATCACCAAGCCTCCTTCCCTTCCCCCAGCTTGCCACATAATGGATAGAGGTGAAAATCACAGGTTGATTTATTTGCAATATCACCTATATGGCAAGGGGGGATTTGGACTTTGGGAGTATATGAGGGAAGGGGGGGTTCATTGCCTTCTAACACAGAGCATTCATTATACCAGCATCATCAGCCTCACAAGTCAATCTGACACACACACACAGCTCCTCAGCTCTGTCCCAGAGATACAGTGCCTAGCAAAAAAGCAGAGCAAGAATGTAAGGAAAGGGAGACCTTCCTCTCTCAGACTGAAGCACACAGCCACATGGTCATCAAGTCAACAGTGCTTTGTTGAATCAGATTGATCAATAAAAGGCCATCTCAAAATAAGTCTGCAAAACCTCTGCCTAAGAGTACTATCAGGGGTCTTCCCCTCAGTGCCCCATCTGCCTTAGTGATTCCTCTGCTGTTCCTGCCTTGTGCCTGGGTATGGTAACCAGACGGACTCACTAGCAAACTAATTTATTTAGACTAACAACCTCAAGAAGTGTTTTGCATAAACACTAAGGTGAAGGGAGCACACTGTTTTAAGCTTAACAGAAATGCTCCAGGTAGTCTTTTTCCCCTCCTGAATAAATACGTGATTCTACAGAATGGTGTCCTTTCTAGGGAAACCTTAGCCAGTCTCCATAAATCATCCCAGTCTTGACCTCCAGAAGGACATGCCAAATACTGGAACTGTATGGTATGCTGTAATGAAAGGAAGCATATATTTCAAGCCAAGAAACTGTGGCTTTGTGGTTTTGGCTTCCTTAGACACTGGCATCTCCCTGTAAAGTCCCCCTGTACCTTTTTCCCCTTTTCATGTGTGTCTTCTTTCTCCTGCCACAGATGGTTCCGACAGGATTGAGCTACACACAAATAACCTTCTATGGGTATGTCACTAAGAAAAGACAGACTAGGGATAGCGTGAGCCCTCTCCAGAAGGAAACAGGAAACCTGTCTACCCTGGATTTGGAGAAGGCTGAGGTTCTTAATGACTTCTTTGCTTCAGTCTTCACTGGCAAATGCTCTGACCACACAGCTCAAGTCTTGGAGGGCAGATGCAGGGACTGTAAGAATGAAGACCCACTGTAGGAGAGGATCTGGTCTGAGATCATCTTAGGAACCTGAATGTGCACAAGTCCATGGGACCTGATGAAATCCATCTGCAGGTCCTGAAGGAGCTGACAAATGAAGTTGCTAAGCTGCTGTCTATATGATATTTGAAAAATCATGGCAGTCAGGTGAAGTTCCCAACGACTGGAAGAAGGGTAACATAACCCCCATTCTCAAGAAGGGGAAAATGGATGACCCAGGGAATTACAGACCAGTCAGTCTCACCTCTGTGCCTGGCAAAATCTTGGAGCAGATTCTCCTGGATGGCATGCTAAGGCACATGAAAAACAACAAGGTGCTTGGTGACAGCCAGCATGGCTTCACTAAGGGGAAATCATGAACATGAGCCAACTTCAGTGTGCGCTTGCAGCCCAGAAGGCCAACCGTATCCTGGGCTGCATCAAAAGGAGTGTGACCAGCAGGTCCAAGGAGGTGATCCTGCCCCTCTACTCTGCTCTCGTGAGACCTCACCTGGAGTATTGTGTGCAGTTCTGGTGTCCCCAACATAAAAAGGACATGGAACTGTTGGAACAAGTCCAGAGGAGGCCACGAGGATGATCAGGGGACTGGAGCACCTCCTGTACAAAGACAGGCTGAGAAAGTTGGGGCTGTTCAGCCTGGAGGAGAGAAGGCTGCGTGGAGACCTCATAGCAGCCTTCCAGTATCTGAAGGGGGCCTACAAGGATGCTGGAGAGGGACTCTTCATCAGGGACTGTAGTGGTAGGACAAGTGGTAATGGGTTCAAACTTAAACAGGGGAAGTTCAGGTTAGATGTAAGGAAGAAGTTTTTTACTGTGAGGGTGATGAGGCACTGGAATGGGTTGCCCAGAGTAGTGATAAATGCTCCATCCCTGGCAGTGTTTAAGTCCAGGTTGGACAGAGCCTTGGGTGACATGGTTTAGTGTGAGGTGTCTCTGCCCATGGTAAGGGGGTTAGAACTAGATGATCTAAAGGTCCTTTCCAACCCAAACCATTCTGTGATTCTATACTAAGCCAGTAAGAGGTGAACAGAGGAGGATTGGTGCAGCTACAGCTGTGGCAGCATTGGTGTGCAACAAACAGCCTTCACAGTCAGGCAAATGTAAAGTATGTCACCCCACTGTCCTGCCCAAAATGAGATCATTACAGCTGGCAACTCTGGCACATTCATAGAGCAGTCACTGTCTGGAATGCTGCAGACAAAAAGGGAATCAACACCATTAAAAGTACTAACCAGATCTGCTTCCTCTGCTTGAACAAAGCTGCTGCAACAGGTGCTGACAACAAACAGCTGGAACTGTCTGAGTACATCCTGCTGCAGCAGGGGGACTGGACTAGATGATCTTTCGAGGTCCCTTCCAATCTCTAGCATACTGTGATACTGTGATACTGTGATACATCCATAGCCCTCCCAGCTCTCCCCAGGGTGTGAGCACACATCAGTCACAAATGATGGGTAGAAGGTTAAATGCCAACAGTTAAATACATTTCACTGGGACAGAGCAAGCAGAGCCATTGTGACCAGATCGATGCCAACTTTGGTTGGAATTGGAAGGTCTCTGCAAGCAGGTCTTGCAAGTGTTCTAAGCACAGGAGGACACAGTTCAGTCCTACAGCACAGAACAAGAGCCAAAGCTGAGAAAGAACCAAGCCAGAGGTATTATGTGTCTAACTGGAATGTGACACCAGAAACAGCCACTCTCTTGCTGCAGCACCATGGTAATAGCCATGGTTTGCAGTGTGGAGGGCTGTATTACCCTACAGACATGGGGGGTATGCTCTTTTCTCCCTCTGTAGCTGATTTCCTGGGCAGCCTGCCACACAAGGCAGGTGTGCAGCCTCCTGAGCTAGTATCTGCCTTGAAGGGTCATCTGGGGAGATGGAAAGCCCTATGCGAGCAGGAGCCCTGAGGTGCCTGGGAGGACAGAGCAAGAAGGGAGGCATAGCTCTGCACCAAATAGCAGAGAGTTTGTACCTGGCATTACCCAGTGAAGGTGTGGAGTAGAAAATGGGCTACCAATAGAACACTGCCATCCACTCTTACCATGTAAAACTCCTACAATTCCCTGCTCCTCTCCAAAGCAGGACCCCAGGCCTTTTTCAAACTCATCTTCTCTCTCTCTTCTCTCCCCAGTGTCAGCCTCAGCAGGCATCCTCGAAATTCCCACACCTTGCTGTGTGCCAACCCACTTCCTCACAACCAGCCTCACCTCTTGCTTTTCACAGTTCTGGCCTTCTGCAGCACTCAAACCCAGACCCCAGCACAGGATCTGTCAGTTCTCCTGCCATATACTGCAGCTGCTCCCTGGGAAAGAGTCCCAGCCCCATGGCCACACATCCCAGTGTTGTGCTTCCTACCTCCCCAGAAATCATTTATCGCCTTATTAATACTCCTTCCCCAGCTAATTGTTTATTCCCATCCTGCCTTTGGCCTGGAACAACCCTCAATCAATGAGATGGGCACACAGACTAAACATTCAGCATCACTTGTAGCAGCGGGAAAGCTTAGGAAGTTCCCACCCACCCCACTCTCATTCCTGCCCACCATCTGGAAGTTGTGCCAAATGCCACATCTAGCCAGGCCCACCCTGTGCAGACAGAATGCTCTAGGCAAGAAGCATCATTTTCCATTTCAGCTTTTTTTTTTTTTTACAGTTTTTCCCCCAAAGAAATTGCTGCTATCACTTTTGCCCCCACCAGCCTTTACCTCAGCCTTATTTTTCCATCAGCAACTGGATAAAACAGCTCCTGCTTGCTCCTGTGCTATATACCTTGGCATTAGTTTTCACCATTTCCATACATCTTCCTGCCTGCTTTAGGTAACTGTACTAAAAACCAGGCTAGCAGGCTATATAGCATCCATCTCTTTTCTCCCCCTTACTTCTAGGAAATCCTCAAGAGGAATGCAGAAGCCATGAAACTGACAATACAATACTCTAGCATGGAGATCCCATCTCCTGCAAAGCTGGTTTTATCTAAACAGCCAAGGGCATTGGTGGGAATTGCCTGTCATTTCTCACACCCTATCAGTCACCATCTCCCATGTGGATCCAGCATCTACAGGTGAACTGTGTGCTGCTGTGTGTACTGATGTGCTGCTTCTGAGTCCCACAAATCCAAAAATCCTTCTTTATTCTGTTTCCAAAAGCTTGATGTTTTTTCCGTCAGCATCATACTGATTTTTTACAACTCCATCAAACCAGCTTTACAGCTCTGGAGCTATCTCAAGGTCAAATCCAAGTCCATATTCAGCCCAAAGGGGAAAAGCCACTCAGTCTCACGAGGTTACGATCCTCCACAGTTCTTTTCTATTTACATTTTTAAATGAGGATGGTAGGCTTTTGATAGCTGGTCCTGAAGCAACATGCTGCTTTCTGCCTTTCCTTGATGTCAGGAAGACTTGTCTCCAGGCTTGAAGAGCTTGCTGGATTCCTATTTCCTGAGAAAGGCAGAAGATGATGAGGAATGTACAGTGATGAAGTGATAACTATCTGAGACAATTGTGGGAGATACGAGGTTTGTTCAAAGCCTGCTGGAGGGGGTGGAAAGCTATCACTGACTGCTTTAGCCTTTGGAGTTCCCTTGGTTCTAAAAGCGTTAGGTTCTTCCCAAACTTTGGATTTCCAATGGCTGTCTTAGATGTAAATTTTTAGTCTGATTTTGATTCTGCTAAGCACACTCAACTTTTATTGTTTTAAGCAGTAGTGGCAGTTGGCTGTGCTCAGGATAAGGCTGTTGTGCAAGTAATTTCAAATGCAGGACAAACAATTCTTAATTATAGCTTTCCATGCTGACAGACTTCTCTGAAGACCAGGATGCACACTCATGAGTTAATCCTCCTACACCTCCTGTCAAAAAGGCAAACCCTAGCAATCTGACTTCTCAGGCAAAACAACCAAGGTAGAGAAGCTAAATGACATGATCAAGGCACAGATGCAAGTGAGTGTTACAGTCAATATGAGAAAACTGCTCTTTGCTTGGCAATAAACCAGATGTCTTTCAGTTTGGCACCTCTCAGTCCCTATTAAACACATGGTTCAGTCCCACTGAAGACAGTCACTTACATGAAATAAGGCAAGCACACACTGGTTTATAAAACTGGACCCCAAATATGCCAGTTTCTCATTCACATTTTTAGGTGCTGGTCAACCACAGTGCAGAAGCATGAGCTCCAGTGCATTTACCACATCCACAATCCCCAGCTGCCTCAGGAACAAGATTTGCTGAACTGAGTCCTCAAGGAGGGACTGCATTTCTCCACATTGCCTGAGCTTGAGCTGTTGGAACTGGGTGGAAAAGAATGATATTCTGAGCACTCAGGTTTGTCCCTCCTTCCTCTTGTTTGAATGGGGAGCACCTTTCAGTCAGTGACCTCAGGTTAATAAACCTGACTCACATCTTGGATTTGAGGGGATTGTCTGAATTGGATGAGAGAGTTTTGTCTGTTTTTGCAAGTCAGTGTTTGTCAATGTGTTAGCAGCTCACCTGATACCAACAGATGACTGGTTTTTGTAGGTAAAATACTAAGGTTCAGCTTTTCCAAAGAAAATCAGTTCTTCATGCAGCAGTTCCTTAAACACACCCATGGGAAGCAGACAGATTTGCACCCTAGGTTAGTACAGCCAAGAGAACAATGGAAAACCTTTCTACTTGCAATAATGGGTATGTGATTATAGCTAAAATGACTTGCTTCAATAGTGGACTTGCTTAAATAATAGCTTTGATCTCAAATGAAAACAAATACTGCTGGTTTATGATGACACAAAACTACCGTATCATCTGGTGGTATGACAGGAATCCTTTGTGCATTTCCTGCATCCTCCCTGCATTTCTTGCAGGGAATGCATTTTTGGAATGCAATGTGAACATTGCAAAGGCAATCGCTGCATCTCAAGCCATACAGCTGCACTTGATGCACCCTGAGGATTTGCAGGTACCTTGACCAAGACCTTGTCTTCTGGATATAAAACATTCAGACACATGGAAAGAAGCATTGTGCTGTGTGCACTGAGGTAACCTTGCAAAAAGAGATTGCCAAAGGTCCTCTCTTTTTTGATCTTTAGAAAGCCATGTTTGAATTCAATAAAGCCATGACATCTATAGGATCCAAGGAATACCTTACAAGAATTGGCAGTGGTTGGGCGTAGATTCCAGCAATTTACTTTGGCCAGTGTGTGTGTGGCTGGAGGTGCAGTAGAGGAAGGTAGTAGAAGTGAACAGATTAACTTAATTGATCTTAATGGCCACCACAAGCATGGGTTCTCCTATACTTCAAAGCCTGTAGAAGGTCTGGGTGATGCTAGTGTGTGTGCCACAAAACCTGTTGCCTATGACTAATGAATCTCAAGCTACCAAGATCTTTTCTAAAGATGTCGAGACAAAACACCAGTCAGAAATGCCCCATGTGGACTGGAGTCATACTTACGGTGGCACTATGTAATTCAAATGATATTGCAGTGACAGACTGGAAAACTATGGGGAAAACTCATATC